CCACCCCTCTGCAATTGCACCCAAAGCTACTGCCACCTACCTGGATTTTTTCAGTGCCCCCCCCCAAAGAGTGGTATCACCCACTTGGAGAACCTCTGAAATCCTGGCCCTCCTAATTCCAAGTTCAATAATATCTATTATGACACACTACCTCTTACACCTTCTAAATGAGTCCTTAAAAAAACAGTCATACAACCTCTTGCGAAGCTCCAAACTAACTTCGAACAAAATATAAAAGAACCTGGGGACTTGGGGACTGAACATGAAGCCACAAGACGTTGTATAAGGTCAACAGAAGGAGAATGTCTGCTTGAAATTGTTTAAACTAATATTCCTCCAACTTCCACACATGGTTTTAGCCTCAAGGTCAAAATATAAAATGGGTAGTCTGATTACAACTTATGACAAGTTCAGTCTTCTGTATCAATTGTTAGTATGCATATAGATCTGAAAGAAGTACTTAAAACACCCACTGTGTTCCCCTAACCAAGACTCTGCTCCCTTCCAAAACCTATTACTTTCTCTTGGATTCCCTATTTCTATGAACAGCACCATCACTAACTAACTTGATCTCTGGATTCCCTCGACTCAAAAACTTTAGAATCAGTCTTGATTCCTCCTTCCCTCTACCATATAAAGGCAATTAGATTTGGAATGAGGAAAAATTGGGTTAAACTTTGTCACTAACCTTCTGTATTCCCCTGAGCTTCCAGATCCTCATCTATAAAGTGCTGAGAATTGTTTTTGTCAAAACAGTGATTTCAGTGGTGCATGGAAGTCTCTCCACAGAAAACTATCTGTAACTTACAGTCTCTAAGAGAATTACTGGGGCAGCTAGGTGGCACCGGGGATAGAGCACCTGCCCTGTAGTCAGGAGGACCTGAGTTCAAATCTGGTCTCAGACACATAACACTTAATAGCTGTGTGACCCTGTGCAAATCACTTAACCCCATTGCCTAGCAAAACAAAAAAAAAGAAAAGACAAGAAAATTACCCACAGCATTGATTTACTTGCCCAGGGTCACAGATATTATGTATCTGAGGTGGAACTTGATTCTATAACACCACTTCTGATCTCTAAAGTTAGGAAACAAACTGTTTACTAAGAGCCCTCTCAAACAGTCAAATGCACTGAATTCTACACCTCCTAAATCGCTCCCATTCATTGTTCCTTTCAATTCCTATTGCCATCCTTGATCTCAGTGATCACAGAATCTCCCCCATTTTTTAATAACATGTCCAGATTAATCTCCCCATTACATGACTCTGACCATGTCATTAACCTGCTCAAAAACTTCCGATGGTTCCCCAAAAGAAGGTCAAATTCCTTTGTTGGGCAATCAAGGCCCTCCACAATCTGAATCTTAAAACTCCTTGGTTTCCTACCTTAGCTCATTCAACTTCTCTCCAACGTAGTCACTGAGTTCAACTCCATCCTTTCTCCTGAGGTGTTCTATTTTCTAACTTATGCCTTTGTTCATTCTGTTCCCTACACCTGGAATGCCGTTCTCCCTGGTCCTACCTATTAAATCCCCACCTTATCCTTCAAGTATCAACTCAAATGTCACCTCCATTGCCATGCTCTGATCTCTACCACCACCACCACCACCCAGACACCTGAAGGGATTTTTCTCAGCTCTGGGCTCTCATAGCACTTTGTTAGTAACCTCTTTATGAATTCATCATTCTATTCTATTTGAAAGTTTTTATGTAAAACTGAGTGCTCCCTCCTATTATATATATAGATTTCCCTATCTGTGTGTAGATATATATCTATATATCTATATCTGTGTGAGTGGTGTGTGTATACACACACACACACACACACCCCACACATGATAGGTTTCTTGAACCAGAACCCCATCTTCATCTTTGCATCCTCAGTGTCTAGCTAGCATAGTGCCTTTCACAAAATACACAACACATGTTTCCTGAATGAACAAAAGAATAAATCAATAACAGATAGGCTTTAAATTGTATTCCAGTTCATCCACCATGTTCTCTTACTCAAAACTCTTTGTGACTAAAGCATGTTCAAAAAAGTTGATTTAAGGTAAGGGGAATATACTGTATTCCTGAAAGAAAAGCTAAATGATCTACCAGGAAATTGAACCTCAGACCTTGGCCTTATTTCCAACAGTGTTCTCTTAATGGAAATAAGCTAACCAGTCAAATATACTTTTTTTCTTTTTCACAAGGCAATGAATCACAAGATTTTTCAAAGTTCCAAACTTCAGCTGTACATGTGTATGTGCTTTAACCATATATGTAAATTTTACTGCTTGTGCTTCAATTGGCTTGTAAAAAAAATGGATAGACACATAAATGGAACAGAGATGTATACAAGTACAAATTCCCTCAACAAAAACACTGTATTTCTCTTACTATTGAGGTCTGACAATCCAATTCAATAAACATTTATCAAGTGTCTGCTGGGAGACACAAAGTTGATAAGCTCCTCATGGAATTTATAATCTACAAATACATGACATATACACAGATAACTGTAATGCAAAAAAAAGACAAAAAACCTTCCAAAAACACAAGTACAGCAAAACAAAATCCTATGAGATTGTGTCATAGTAGATAGAGCAGACTTAGTAAAACCTGGGTTCAAATCCCACCCCAGACTCACACTAATTAGGTGGCCAGCCAAGTCATTTAACCCCTCTGAGGCATTCTTTAATGACCTGAAAATAGGATAATAGCACCTACCTTAAAGGGTTGTTATGAGTATCAAATGAGATGAAAACAAAAAAAAATCTAAATGTCAGCTAGTATTATTATTATTAAGGGAAACATTATCTTGGGTATTCCAAATACTCTGACACTGGGGGGTTAAGATTTTCTCTGTGGAACAGCTAAATAAGAAAGCAAATTGTAATTTGATTGGAGAGTAAATCAGGTATTAGCCTTGAAAGAGAAGGCAACAGGACAAAAGTGTACATGCATAAAAGTTTTTTCTACAGCAAGCTGCTTTAAAACTTTGTGACATTCAGATTCTGCCAATTTGTTTATTTATTCTTACACTGTAAACTTAAAATGTGCAAAGAAGTGTGTACAGGTTGTGAACAAAATTTAAGCTTAAAATATGACATGAAAGAAAACATGAACATTAACTATAAGACATAAAATATGAATCAATTATTCTTAAAAATAATGGTTCTGAAGCAAGGCCAATTATATAATTAGAGTAACAGGGATTGTTTTCTGACAAATCTGTACTATTTCTCCTATTCTGCGACCCAACTACAGAAAAATGAACGTTAGAGAATTATACTATTCCTCTTCTTCTGCCAAAAAAATTCCTAAGAGTCAATTTCCTCATTCTTGGTACTGCAATACCATATGTCAAACAACCGAATCTTGTATGGTTTTCAAAATCTCCCCACCAAATAAGGGTTCTCCTGAGAACTTTCTCCTCCCCAACCATCAGGCTATGTACACAGATGCCGTGTCTACCCCTCCATCACCTTCCCAGTACAGCGTTTTCTCTAACACCTAAAAGGTTCCTTTCTTCTATCTTTTAAACCGACCTTCTTGGAGCACGTGTCACATTTTCACTCATCTACACCTAGACCCTACCCCACTCCACTCTCTCACTGCTTAGCCCCAATATTTCCAGACTACTTTTCCTCTTCCAATTCAAGTCCACTCCTCCCTAACACCTTTCACAGACCAAATCCCCTATCTCTTCCAAATACCACTTAGCTCTGGTCTCCTCCCCGAAACACCTCTCGCTGCATCTGAATCCTGTCCCCAAATCTCCCAGCTCTCCCCATAAAACCCTCTAGGTCTTCGGGTCCCCTCCCTCCAGCCCTCTCCAAGGCCCTCCTCTTCTAGACCCCGCCCCATCCTCTTCGCAGGGCCCTCCTCCCCCACAGTTCCCCCCCCAAACCTTCTTAAGGCCCTCTTTTCCTTCCACCCATCACTCGGCTCTCCCCCCCCCAACAACTCAACCCCTCTCCTCTTCCCCCCCCCCACCCCCCCCCCCCTCTAAACACACCCCTCCTCCGAGAGGGAGGAAAAAAAAAACCAGCTCTCGCGGCCTCCTCCCGCCTCCAAAAGATAAAATCTCTCAATGGCTCGCCCCCCCAAGCAGCCCCCGCAGACCGGGGCCCCTCCCCGGCCCCCGCGCGGCACTCCGGGGTGGCGGCCGGCCGGGGGTCCGGCTCGTGGCCGCTGGGGCCGCAGGCCGCGTCGCTCGCGGCTCACCTTGCTGGATGTCGCCGTTGCTGCCGCCCGGGATGGGCACGCTGAGCTGGCGCTCGGGCTCGGGCAGGCAGCGGAGGCAGAAGGAGTGCAGGCAGGGCAGCAGCTTGGGCTCCGCCTCACGGCGGCTCTGCAGGCTTTGCTGACACACCGCGCAGGTGTCCAGCAGAGAGGCCGGGGGCCCAGGAGGCGGCCCCGCCGGCGCGGGGGCAGGCGCCGCCAGGGCTACCGGAGCCGCCGGGGCCGGGGCCGCGATCGCCGCTCCCGGACCCGCGGGACCCGCCGAGGCCGCGGCGCCGGCGGCGGAGGCCGCAGGAGCTGAGCCCGAGGAGGCCGCCGACACCCCCCCGTCCTCAGGCCCGGCCGCCGCGCCGCCCTCCGGCCCGGCCCTGCCGCCCTCCTCCTCCTCCTCCTCTTCCACTAGCACCGCGGCGAGAGGCGGCTCCGCCTCCAGCCCCGCGGGTCCCGCAGCCCCAGGCCCGGCCGCCGCCGCTGCCGCCGCACTGCCGCTGACCCCGCCGCCGCCACTCTCGGCCTCGCCGCCGCCGCCGCCTTTGTTTTCCGCCATGTTTTCCTCTTTGAACCCGCCGGACCGCCCCGCGCCGCCAGCCGCCCGCGCCGCCGCCACCCCCAGCCCCAGCCGCAGCAGCAGCGAGAACGGCAGGCGAGAACGAGCAAGAGCGAGGGCGCGCGCGCACGGCGGCCCTTCCCCTCGCTCCCTCGTCGAGCGCCGCGGGGGGAGCGCGCACGCACGACGCACACGTCTTTCCTTCAAAAGGAGGCTCGGGCCTGAGAGTACGTAGCGCGGGTACAGACGAGGCTCCGGCTCGGCCGAGAAGCCACCGTGGTGCGCCTGCGCGGCAGCCTTAGCTCCTGGGCCGAATCGAACTCCAAGGTAGGATGCGCGCTAGACCGCAGAAGGCTCCGTCGTCTAGGTGAGAGCCGGAGGCGTGGGTGAGGCGGGAGCTGCAGGTGGGGGCTCCTGGAAGAGAGGGGCGGGGATGCTCGAGAGCTTGTAGGACGGAGAGGGGCCTGGGGAGGCGGGGCTCCAGGTGAAAATCCCAGGGATGCAGGTGCGCCAAGATGGACTCTTACGGGTGGTCGTCCTTTGTTGTCTCCTCCCTAGGATGGGAATCTGGGGCGGGGCCTCGCTCCGAGACTTCCCGGAGCCCACGGGCCTCTGCCGCCCAGGAGGCGCAGCCCCGGGCCTCCCCGGAGGCTGAGCAGAAATCTGGACCGGACTGAGGTCCTGCCCCGCCCCTCCCCCGCACCCCGAGATTGTAAATTTCTTTAGGACCGGGGGTGGGGGGGGCGGATTCTTTATCTGTATCTCTGGTGCCTGGCATACCCAGCATAGTATATGTTATATCTTGAAATGTTCGTGTTTGTACGTAAGTTTGTAATAAAAGAGAAAAAAGATGTTTACGTTTTATAATAAAAGGTGTAGGAAGCCTCTCCGTACAATAGAAAGTGAAGATAGAAAGCGCTCTGGACTGAGCAGACCTGGGTTCAAGTTCCACCTCTGACGGTATTTGTACAACTTTGGTCAAGTCTCTGGGCGTTAGTTTCCTCATTTATAAAAGGAGGGGTGGACTGGATGGCCTCTAAAGCCTTGCCAGCTCTAAATCTAACCTGGGATTATAATTAATCTTGTTAATTATGTTCTTAATAAATGAGTCTAGGAAAAAGTGGTTCAAACTAAAGAAAGTACGATGGGCATACCTGAGCGAAAGAAAAGTAGTTGGTTTGTCCTGTTTTATGACATCCTGTATCCTTACCAGTGGCAACCGGGACCGAAAAGTTAGGGCATCCAATTTATCCTGTGTGTATCTTAGTTGTAATTGTATACAAATTATCTTCCCTAGTCTGTGAGCTTCTTGAAAGTAGGTACCTGCTTCTGCCTTTCTTTGTATTCCCAGTTCCTGGCACATGGCAGGAGCTTAATAAATGTTTATTGACTGACTGGAAAGTAAGCCCAGAAAGGTAGGTTGTGTCCAGATCATAGACATTAGGGTAAGAGGGGTCGTTAGAGGTCTTCTAGTCCAAACTCATTTTACAGGTGCAGCTGACACCCAGAGAGAAGAAGGGGCTTGCTCCAGAGCAGACCACTAATAAATGCAAGTATTGAACGAATGAATGCAAGAAATGTTCATTCCTATTCTCTTGTCTTTACACAATCCTTCACCATTTACGCCAAGTCCCAGAGGTCCATAGTTTGATTGACAGGCAAACAAATGTGGATTTGATGCTCCAGTCCAGTGGTGGGGAACCTGCTGCCTGGAGGCCACATGTAGCCTTCTACGTCCTTGGATGCAGCCTTTTGACGGAGTCCAGGTTTTACAGAGCAAATCCTTTTATTAAGGGGATTGTTCAGTGAAGTTTGGATTAAGTCAAAGGGCCACAGTTGAGAACCTAGAGGGACACGTGTGGCTTCAAGGCAGCAGGTTCCCCACCCCTGCTGTAGTCAGTAGGAAGTTTTTGAAATCTTTTAAGCATGAGTTACATGAGAAAGCTGTTCTTTACAAAGAATAGACTGGCAGCAATGTATAAGATGATTTAGAATGAATAGAAAATGGAGGCAGAGATCGGTAGGGGATTATAATAAGCCAAGTGAAAGGTATATAGTTTATAATTAGAGACTTCATCTATCCAGACTGACAAGGGTATATGTTTCTCTCTGCTAAAAAAGCAAGAGGATCTTAAAAGTCTTGATAATTTTCTCAGCTAATTTCATCTTTAAGAAGATAGAAAAAAATGTAATGAAAAAATGCTCTTCTGTTCCTGATTCTAGCCGATAAGAACTTTCAATCTAGTCATTAAAGAGGATGTGACAAGAACCTTGGGAAGAAGTGACCCTATCGTATTAGAGCTCATGATAAATTAAGAAGGAGAATGTATTTCCAAAAGTTCAGGAAAAAAGAAAAAAGAAAGAATACTTTGGCCTGCGACTCTGAGATGGAAGACTATTAAGAAAGAAATTCTCACTGCAAACGCAAATAATCCTAATGAGGAAGAAAAGGGAATTGTGTCTAAAAAGACCAGTTACTCTACAAGTAGCTAACCAACAATATAAAGTATATGTAAAATGACAGCCAAGGCATAGTAGGTAAATATGGATGAATATAGAAGAGTGACAAGGTTTCTGTAGCTGGATATCAGTCTTGCAGAGAATAAATGCCAAAGCACCGAAAAGTGTTTGTTTGTTTTTAACCACATTGTGGACTAGAGGAATAAGGATGGGATAAAACCACTGCTGGAGAGGAATTTAAAAAAAAGAAGACAAAGTAAAAACTATTTGGCTCGTTTGTACTCTTGTGTTTTCTTTACCAAGGAGAATGGAGAAGAATGGATGAGAAAATGGCTAAGAAGAATGTGAAAGGAAAAGCACCGAAGCACTAATTATAGATGGCCTTCTCAAGAAGTTTACCCACAAAAAGGAAGAGAGATATAGGATGATAGGTAGTGGGAATAGACAGATCAAATGAGGTTTTTTTAAGGATGGTAGAGACATGAGCATGTTTATAAAAGATTATACAGCTTAGAGATTATACAGTGACTGACCCAGGTCTGATAGTGTTGTTTTACAGTGTTACCAGATGTGGAACTTATCAAATCAAGAAAGATGGCAACTGCAGTTTGGGTGGGTTTGAGGTAATAGTGGTACTCCATCCAAGTGGAGGTCTTCATTACTGGCTCTTGAGGAACATAGAAGAGAAGGCTAGTTGAGAAATAGAAATTTAGAAGTCATCTACAGGTAATTGTTGAAGCTCAGGGAATGAATGAAACCACTGAGAGTGGTAAGAAACAGAAGAAGATTTAGAATATAGCCTCGAAGATCAACTATATTTAGGTGGCTGAAGAAAGTAGAGCAAACAAAAGAGGCAGACAAGGAACACTCACAGGTAGATGGAATCACACAGAATTCAAGCAGTCATCTAATCCACCCTCTACCAAAGAAGAATCCCAACCATAACACCTGATGTGTGATTATCCAGCCTCTGCTTTTAAAAACTCCAAGAGACGGCAGCTAGGTGGTGCAGTGGATAGAACTCCAGCCTTGGAGTCAGGAATACCTGAGTTCAAATCTGGCCTCAGATACTTGATACTTATTAGTCGTGTGACCCTGCGCTAGTCACTTAACCCCAATTGCCTCACCAAAAAGCAAAAAAAACCCAAACAAACAAACTCCAAGAGGAACCCACTGCCTGTCCTAACTGGCCATTCCACTTTCAGACAGCTGTTATTGTTAGAAAGTTCTTCCTCATATCAAGCCTAAATTTGCTTCTTTACAACTTCTAACCTTTGTTCCTCATTCTGTCCTCTGGGAGCCAAAGAAAATTTGTTCAACCTATCTTCCTTGTGACCATTCTTCAGATACTTGAAAACAGCAAACATTTCTTCCTTGAATCTCCTTCAAGCTTAACATTCCCAGTTCCTTCAACTAATCCTCAGATGGCATAGACTCATAGGGCCTTTATTATCCTGGTTGCCTCCTCTGAATACTCTCCAGCGTATTAAAGGATTAAACCATGTGGCCCAGAACTTAACATAGTTCTCCCGATAAAGTATGAGCAGGGCAGAATACAGTAGGAATATCATCCACCCCTTTATTTCTGGAAGCTATCTGAAAGCTATCTGTCTCTTCAAGCACCCCAAAATTGGATTAGGTTCTTTGGCTGCCACTTCATACTCCTGGTTTATTGAGCTGACAGTCCACTGAAACCCCCTGAATTCTTTCAAAACAAGGTGTCTAGGCAATTCAGTGGTACAGTAGATAGAGCATTGGCCTTGGAGTCAGGAGAACCTGAGTTCAAATCCAGCTTGAGACACGTAACACTCCCTAGTTGTGTGACCCTGGACAAGTCACTTAACCCCATTGCCTAGCCAGAAAAAAAAAAACAAAAAACATATTTAACCATGCCTCCCCTATCTCATACTTGTGAAGTTGATTTTTTGAGCCCAAATGTAAGATTTTACATTTCTCCCTATTTGGTTTCATCTTTTCAGATTCAGCTCAAAGCTCTAATTCAACAGTTCTCAAAGTATGGACTGGGGAACCCTGAGGGTCTGAGAAATCAAAACTATTTTCATAATAATATTAAGATGTTTTAATTTCTAATATGCTAAATATATGTAGATATAACCTACATAAACAAAAGCTCTTTGGGGGCCTCAACAATTTTTAAGAGCATAAAATGGTCCTGAGACCAAAAAGTTTAGAGAATTGCTACTCTAATGTGTCTGCTTCTTTTTGGATTCATACTTTTTTGCCCATTGTGTTATCTATCTTTCCCAGCTTTGTATTATCTGTAAATTTAATGAACATGCCATCAAGGCCTTTATCCAAGTCATTGATAAAAATGTGAACAGTACAAGGCCAATCACAAGTCATAGAGGCATTCTACCGGAGATGTCCTGACCATTAACAACTACTTTTTGAGTCTGACAATCTGTCCAATATGGATTCATCTAATTGTGTTATCATCTAGTTAACCTCTCTCTAGCTTTTTCACAAGAACAGTACGAGATACTTTTTCAGGGTTTTGGCAAACTATAATTGTAGCATGGTTGATTGACCAATTTAGTAATCCTACCAAAACAGGAAACAAGATTATTCTGGCATGACTTGCCAAATGAATCCTTCCTTTTTATAATCACTGCTTTCTTTTCTATATGTTCACCAACCATCTCTTCAATGATCCATTGTAGTTTCTCAAGTTCTAGGTCAGCCACACTCACTAGCCTATAATTTGCAAACTCTATTCTTTCCTTCTTTTGAAAACCAGAAAAATATTTGCCCTTCTTTAGTCTGTGATGCACCTACCAATTTCCATGATCTCTCAGATATTACTGACAGTGGCTTACTAATCATATCTGCCAACTCTTGCAGTACACAAGGATGTAATTTAACTAGGCCAAGAAACTTAAATTCTTC